TTTTAGTACTAAAACAACTTATGTAAAATAATTGATGCTTAGAAGATAAGAGTGAAACATTTTAAACTTTTTTTTTTACACTTGTAACAGTCTAACAGAGACTGCAATGGGTTGGGTATTATCAGAAAATCATCTCAATATGAGAATAAGCTTTGGTTTTAACTGTAATGTAGAAACTACAACAACTGAGATTAAGAAAATATCATTCTCGCATTTAATTGCTTTCACTTCCACCAACATACACAGGCAGGATACTCCCTCTAGAGTTAAAAAGATAGTTATTTGAAGCTAATTGAAAGTCACATGAGTAAGTTGAAAGGAATGCTTTCTCAAACTTCAATTTTCAGCTTCAAATTGTGCAGACAACAGAAACATATTAGCTTAGTCTATANAAAAAAAAAAAAAAAACTGACAGAGCATAAACACTGCTTATCCGCAGAGAAACGTCAAGATCGCTTAAACACGACATTTTTGGAGCACAGCGCAATGCCGAGGAAATTCCTGAAGCTTACACATAATAAGGTCATAAAAGAGACAAGCCTAAAATAAAATACATGTAGCAAAAGGCACCAGGCGCAGGGCAGAGAAGAGGGGTGTCAGCTGTCAAAACAGTCCCCGTCATTACATCCTCCTAACTGTGCTACATTGCCAATTCCCTTGCTTTTGTTTGTTTCTTTCTTTTTTTTAGTACAAATATTATTTGGAATACATGCTCAAAAGTTGATGAAATGCTGCGAACAAGTCGAAAAGCTGTCTGGTTTCCTTATGGCAGTCTTTCCACTCACACGTAGCCAACTATTTATTAGCAGGTAAGCTAATAGAGGCCCACAGGAAGCACCGGTCTTTCCTTGCGCGCATAGACCACGCATGAGCACGAGAGGCGGGGACAAGCTAGAGCGCAGAGGTCGGACGACGTGTAATGACAACACCCCGGCTAAGTCAAGAACTATTTACCGAATCAACAACAACGAATACGGGTAAAATAGGCTCACACGTTAGCCATGGGCCATATGTACTCCGTGTCATTTAGTCAAGTCAAATGTAAGATATTTTACCTTTTTCTTAGCTGCAGCGAGTTTAATTTGCCTACTCTGGTCGGCCATCCTGCTGCTGCTGTGGTCCACCGACCGAACCACGTCATCAGTGTGATGCTAATAGGCTTCTAGTCGGAAGGGGGCGCTAACACTAAAA